GATTCCTCACAGTGGTGCTGGAGGCCAGGGCGATGCCACCCAGGGAAACTATATCTTTAGATAATGCGTCACGGAGGTGCTTAGGCCTCAGAAAAATAACTTCAGTTTTATCTGGGTTTAACATTAGAAAATTACAGGTCATCCAGGTTTTAACATCCTGAAGGCACATTTGAAGTTTAGCTAACTGATGAGTTTCATCTGGCTTGATCGATAGATATAACTGAGTATCATCTGCATAACAATGAAAGCTTATGGAATGTTTCCTGATAATATTGCCTAAAGGAAGCATATATAAAGTGAAGAGGATTGGTCCAAGGACAGATCCTTGAGGAACTCCATGAGTAACTTTGGCGTGCATGGAGGACTCATCGTTAACATGTACAAACTGAAATCGATCTGATAAATAGGACTTAAACCAGCTTAGAGCGGTTCCTTTAATGCCAATGAAATATTCCAGTCTCTGCAATAGGATCTGATGGTCAATGGTATCAAATGCAGCACTAAGATCTAATAAAACCAGTACAGAGACAAGTCCTTTGTCTGATGCAATAAGGAGGTCATTAGTAATTTTCACCAGTGCTGTCTCTGTGCTATGATGAGCTCTAAATCCTGACTGAAAATCCTCAAATAAACTATTGCTCTATAGAAAGTCACACAGCTGTTTAGCAACTGCTTTCTCCAGAACCTTAGAGAGAAATGGAAGGTTAGATATAGGTCTATAGTTGGCTAAAATATCCGGATCAAGTTTAGGCTTTTTCAGAAGAGGTTTAATTACAGCTACTTTAAAGTACTGTGGTACATAGCCTGTTGATAAAGATAGATTGATCATATCTAGTATAGAGGTGCTGACTAAGGGTAGAACATCTTTAAGCAGCCTAGTCGGGATGGGGTCTAAGAGGCAGGTTGATGGTTTAGATGAAGAAATTATTGAAGTTAGTTGGTAAAGATTGAGGGAAGCAAAACAGTCTAAACATGTATCTGGTTCTACAGCTGTTTCTAAGGTTCCTGAGTTAAGAGATAAGTCGGTGCCAATTGAGGGCAGGTCTTGGTGAATTTTGTCTCTAATAGTTAGAATTTTATCATTAAAGAAGCTCATGAAATCGTAACTACTGAGAGCTATGGGAATACTTGGCTCAATAGAGCTGTGACTCTCTGTCAGCCTGGCTACAGTGCTGAAAAGAAACCTGGGGTTGTTCCTATTTTCCTCTATTAATGACGAGTAGTACGCTGCTCTGGCATTACGGAGGGCCTTCCTATAAGTTTTAAGACCATCTTGCCAAATTAAACGAGAATTTTCCACTTTGGTGGAACGCCAATTCCTCTCAAGTTTCCGCGATATTTGCTTTAATTTGCGAGTTTCAGTATTATACCATGGAGCTAACCGTCTTTGTTTTAGTATTTTCTTTTTTAGAGGGGCTACAGAGTCGAGTGTCATTCGCAGCGAGCCTGCAGCACTATCAACAAGATGATCGATTTGGGAGGGACTGAAATTAGCATAGGAGTCCTGTTACTTTGAATTTAGAGCTGATGGAATCGCATCCTTAAATTTAGCTATGGCACTATCAGACAGACATCTTGTATAGAAATTTTTGCCCAATGGCGAGTAGTTCAGCAATACAAACTCAAAAGTTATCAAACAGTGGTCGGATAAAGAGGGATTCTGTGGGAACACCACTAAATGTTCAATTTCAATACCATACACCAAAACAAGGTCGAGGGTGTGGTTAAAACAGTGAGTCGGTTCATGAACACTCTGAGAGAAGCCGATGGAATCTAACAGAGAGATAAACGCAGTACTGAAGCTGTCATTCTCAACATCCACATGAATATTAAAATCTCCTACAATAATAACTTTGTCCGTTTTAAGGACTAAAGTTGACAAAAACTCTGCAAATTCAGATAAGAATTCAGATACGGGCCAGGTGCTCGGTACACTATAACGAAGAGAATTGGTTGCAGTGATTTCCAACTTGGGTGCGAAAGACTAAGAACAAGGCTTTCAAATGAGTTATAGTTTGGTTTAGGTTTAGAGCTGATTAGTAGGCTAGAGTCGAAGATAGCTGCAACTCCACCTCCTCGGCCTGTGCCTCGAGGAATGTCAGTATTAATATGACTGAGGGGTGGATTCATTTAGGCTAACATATTCTCCATCACCCAGCCAGGTTTCAGTAAGACCAAATAAATCAATATCATAATCTGATATTAGTTCATTTACTAGTACAGCTTTAGAAGAGAGAGATCTGATGTTTAAGAGTCCACATTTAACTCTCCTATTTGTTTGCACTATTGCTCTTGTGGTTTTAATTTTTAAGAGGTTTTTATGCACAGCTCCTCTTCTGTTTACCTTTTTAAATAATTTCAATGGTCGGGGGACAGACACCGTCACTATAGGATTTTCACTAAGTAACTCCTGAAATGGAGGAGCAGAGAAGTGTGTTAGACTGCGACTCTGCCTCCTGGTCTCAACTCTGGGTTGTCATGGATTTGGTCCACTAATAAACTTGGCCAGATTTCTAGAAATGAGAGCTGCTCCTTCCCAAGTGGGACGGATGCCGTCTCTCCGGATCAGACCAGGTCTTCCCCAGAAAGTCTGCCAATGATCTACAAAGCCCACATCGTTTGCTGGACACCACCTCGACAACCAGCGGCGGAATGACGACATGCGGCTATACATGTCATCACTGGTCAGATTTGGCAGGGGTCCAGAGAAAACTACGGTGTCCGACATTGTTTTTGCATATGTACACACCGACTCAACATTAATCTTAGTGACCTCCGATTGGCGTAACCGGGAGTCATTACCGCCGACGTGAATAACAATCTTACTGTATTTACGTTTATCCTTAGCCAGCAGTTTCAAATAAGACTCAATGTTGCCCGCTCTGGCCCCAGGGATGCACTTAACTATGGCCGCTGGCTTCGCTAACTTCACGTTTCTCAAAATGGAGCTGCCAATGATCAGAGTTGGTTTCTCAGCGGGTGTGTCGCTGAGTGGGGAAAATCTGTTAGAAACGTGAACAGGTTGATGATGCCCCGTGGACTTTGAATGCTTACGACTATTCCTCCTTCGGACAGTCACCCAGCCTTTCCTGGCTGCACAGGGGATGCCGGGGGACGGCTACCACAGGCTAACTCAGGCCGTTCCGCACCGACTACCGGGGACTGGCTAGCTACAGTAGCTAAAGACTGATCTACCAAGGTGCGGAGCCGGACTTCTAAATCACTGAGCCTCGCCTCCATGTCTATAAATAAACTACACTTATTACATGTACCATTACCGCTAAAGGAGGCAGAGGAGTAACTAAACATCTGACACACCGAGCAGGAGAAAGTAGGAGAGAGAGAGGGAGAAGGAGAAGCCATCGCTAGCTGCTAAGCTAAAGTCGCTAACGGCTAAGCTAAAGTACTGTAGCGTCAGTTACCAAAACTTTAGAACAACTATGAGATTGAACAGCAGTCACTAAAAGATGGAAAGAACTGTGAGTGCTTAGGCAAAATTACTGTAAAGAATAAGTGTTTAGCGAACAGTTGGCCGCTGTAATCAAACAAATGTAACTGTTATTTAGCGAGAGCAGCACAACACGGTACCAACACACAAGCACCGGAAACGGAAATGAGTCGACACGCTTACCGCAATACGTCAGCAGTACCAGGTCAGTCTAAACCAGCTTAGAGCGGTTCCTTTAATGCCAATGAAATGTTCCAGTCTCTGCAATAGGATCTGATGGTCAAGGGTATCAAATGCAGCACTAAGATCTAATAAAACCAGTACAGAGACAAGTCCTTTGTCTGATGCAATAAGGAGGTCGTTAGTAATTTTCACCAGTGCTGTCTCTGTGCTATGATGAGCTCTAAATCCTGACTGAAAATCCTCAAATAAACTATTGCTCTGTAGAAAGTCACACAGCTGTTTAGCAACTGCTTTCTCCAGAACCTTAGAGAGAAATGGAAGGTTAGATATAGGTCTATAGTTGGCTAAAACATCCGGGTCAAGTTTGGCTTTTTCAGAAGAGGTTTAATTACAGCTACTTTAAAGTACTGTGGTACATAGCCTGTTGATAGAGATAGATTGATCATATCTAGTATAGAAGGGCTGACTAAGGGTAAAACATCTTTAAGCAACCTAGTCGGGATGGGGTCTAAGAGGCAGGTTGATGGTTTAGATGAAGAAATTATTGAAGTTAGTTGTTAAAGATTGAGGGAAGCAAAACAGTCTAAACATATATCTGGTTCTACAGCTGTTTCTCAGGAAGTAATGAGAAAAAGTTGGCAGTTCTAAACCACCACAATCTTTTCCTTTTTAGCAGAGTTTTTAAACTGATTCGTTTTGATTTTGTTCATAAAGATTTTGAGATGCTCAAGTGCAATGACTTAAACTAGACAGCAGAGGGTTGGGTGGGTAACTAAAAACAGGTAATTCATTTTGTTCAGGACCGTCATTTCTATGGTAACCCTGATTAATCATGTAATTTGTTATTATTACCTGATCTGTTCTGTACCGGGGGTCTTTTCTGCTGCTCTCTGCTTAGGGCTTTTCATGTATGCACATGGATGGGCAGGGAGGTGCTCTCCCAGAACAGGGCCACACCACCAAACTTCAGTGTCACAAATATCCGTTTCTTTGCTGAAAGTTGTCTGACTGAAATAAACTAGACAAGGCAGATGTAATGGGAATAACACCAAAGAACATGTACAGTAATGCTGTGAAAGGTTGTGCTAAAGATCTACAAGGACAATGAGGGGGAATGCACTTTGTGCCCTCTCTGACGTGAATTTAGACATGGAGCATGGCCATGTGTATTATAGGGCAGTTTGAACCTAAAGGTCAGTGAAGCAGGTTTGATCCCTGGACCTGCAGGATGAATCTGGGTGGAGACCGTGAAAGCAACACTTACCCTTCTGATGAAGAAAAAGTTCGGGCTAGTTGAAAACCCAAAACAGATCTTTATCGTTATATAAATCTTTGCTAAAATAGACAGCAACCTTGGGGTCTAAAAAAAAATGATGCAAGTCAAGTCTTTATTCTTTTTCAAGACAAAAACCGAGTTACATCTTGCAGGTTTCAAGATTTTTCCAATCCAAAACTTTCGTCCTTAGTGATTTTCCATTCCTTCATTTTCTACCAGTGTTTTGTCTGATTCTTTGTTATACAATACATTTCACACAACTAGGCCAGAAGTATTTTCCACAGTGGGGTCTTTCTGGTTTTGACAAGCTTAAACCAGTTTACAGTGGTGACATAATTGTTGGCGGACTTGCAGGTACTTTTCCTTCACATGGACTCATCTTCCCTTTGTGATGTCCTCATGCTATTCTCGCTCTTTCTTATGTGTACTGCGTGATCACTGGTCAGCGTATATTCCCCCACGTCGACTACCAAACCTTATCCACAACTTTAAAGGCGACAAGGAATACATGATAGGATAGTATTTCTTTAAACATATATAGAAAGATTTGCCAGTAGAGCTGTTTGAACAAAAGTGGCTTGTATTGCAATATATAGTAACTATATCTTATAACATTTATACATTTAAGATAGCAAATATTACACAACGCCTCCATCACTGAGGAAAACTGTAGTTGTACTTGCATTTTTAAAAAATCTGGGAAAAACGCATTGATCAAAATCCTAAGAAATCAACACCGTATACACCGAACATCAGCAACAAATATACATTTTATTACATTAAACGTAGAAAGTGTTTATTCCGCACTGACAGGAGAGATGATCAGAGGGGTAGAGTTTTCACCACAATCATTAAGACTGGGACTAAAGAACAGGTAGAGTTTCTCAGTGAAGCAGCAGCCAGTAAAGGAGTAGATAAGAGCTGCAGCATCAACGTCATAAAAGGAGACCAGACCCTCCTCATAATCCACAAACACCCCCACCTTCTCAGGCCGAGTCTCCGTGGAGAGACGAAAATCAGGGCCAGCGTAGTACTCATTTTTATTCCTCAAACATATCGTCCAGTAACCATTCTGAGGAGTCGCTGTGATTTTTCCCTTCCTTTTCATCGACTCTCTGGCCACTCCTAAAGTCCACTTAGTCTTCCCTTTAACCTGAACCTCGTAGTAAAATCTTCCTGAAGAGAAACTCTGCTTTGCTAAGACAACAACAACATGATTAAATCTCTCTGGATTGTCCGGAAGATTCATCTTTACATCACTATCAAGTACTTGTTTTCCATCATCAGACAGGATGAGGTAGGGATGTGCTGTATCAGGATCGAGGGTCACATCCACTGCATACTGCTGGACCCTCTTCAGCTCGGCCTCCAGCAGCTTCTTCATCTGTTCACTGAGCGTCTCCTCCAGCTGATTCACAGCTCTCCTCACAGTCCCCTCATATGAAGGTGGACGGACGCTGACTTCTGTCCAGTTTTTGGTGGGTGGAGCAGAGCTCTTCTTCAGCTCAGAGATTTCCTGTTCCAGCTCTTTGATGAAGCCTTCAGCCTGTTTCTCTGTCTCTCTCTGCTTCTCTTTGATCGTGTCGATGAGCTCGGCCTGGCTTCTCTCAACAGACTCCTTCAGAGCGCTGAAGACCTGAACACCACCTGCTATCTCTCTGTCTGCATCTTCCTTACTGAGCTCCACTGAGCGTTTGATCTCCTCAATCTTCAGTTGTCTCTTCTGGATTTCAGCATCGTGTGTCTTGTTGTCGAAAACCATCCAGAGCATGAAGACAAACACCAGACAAACCAGGCAGGACTTCAGGGCCTTCAGTTTGGTTCCAGTGCAGACGTCACAGGGAACTTCTCCTGGTTTGGCAGCTTGTTGCTCTGAGCTGCTGCTGCTGGCTTTCTGTTGAGCTGACTGTCTGAACTGAGCAGCCATCTCAGAAATGAAAGTGTTGACCTGCAGCTCAGGTTTTGTGTTGAAAACCTCTTCACAGTTGGGACACTGACACAGGACATTAATATTCCAGTGTTCAGTGATGCAGGTTTTACAGAAGTTGTGTGACTCAGACACTGAGGACAAAAAGTGTGAAAAACAAAATGGTAATAACATATCGTTTGTTAAATAAAATCAAATGTGCAGTTCAGCATTGGTATTTCTATGAGATTAACAAGCTCAGATAATAAGTGGTAACATCAAGATCTTCATTCCAAAAGATTTACTACGGAAAAACATGCCTTATTTTCTGCAGCTAAATTCCATCAAAACAAAAATGACTGTTTTTGGACCCCAACATATCCCAAATCAAGTACTGCCACCTACTGGTCAGTTGTCACAACAAATCAAGCCTGTTGCAAGAAAACTTGGTGTCTTGTTTGATAGCAAAACATCACTTAGCTTGTCCTGTCATGTTTTCAGCAGCACAGACATATTGCTCAAATACATTTTAGGGATGTAGAAACTCTTGTTCACACTTTTGTTTCCGCGCCTTGATCATTACAAACGTCTCTTCTCTTGAACCTTTAAACGACTGCAGAGTGTGCAGAACTGCTGCTGATTGGCTTTTAAGCAGAACTTAGAGCTGCGAGCTACAAACACCTGTTTTAGCCTCTTTACATTGACTCCCTGTTTGGTTTAGGATAGATTTAATGTTCTTATTGATCACTTTTAAGCCTCTCCATGACCTGGCTTCTGATAGTTTTTTGGATCTTTTAACTCTTTATAAGCCTTTGTGTAGTTTGAGATCTTCGGGCAGGGGTCTCCTGTCTCTTCCTGAGTCTTTGGCTTAAAGCTAAAGGGGAAGGAGCTTTTGCCGTCAGAGCTCCGAGGCTCTCGAACGACAGTCAGAGTTTAAGTCTCTTCTAAAATGCACTTTTAGTGCAAAACATATCCAGATTTTATATGAACTGCCCATTTATTTGACACACTAATCTGATGTCTTAACCATTGCAGCGATAGTTTCATTGAAGCGTCTGAGGGAGTCGAGCAAAAGAAGAATCTCTGTGCAAAGACCTTTAGTGTCAGAGAGTGAGCTTGGACAAAGAGGAGGAGGAGGTACAGAGAGCAGAGAATCAGACGCATTAAATGTGCAGAAAAAAAGATGGAAGCTGCTCTGGACTGCAGGAAACTGAAACAGCCCCCACGGCCTCCGATGGAGCTCAGTTAAAAATGGCTACCACCCTGAGTGGAACTTCCTGTCTGAGTAGAGCTCAGGTTTTGTGTTAATACCGAAAACAAGTCAGAAAAAGGCAGTACATTAACTTAAGCTGAAGCTAGCTGTCTAAGTGGAGTTCAGTCACTGTGGTGTGGTTTTTACATCTGTTTTTTAGTTCCGGCAAATTTACACATTTTTAAAATGACACATTTCGATTGCATCATATCCTTATTTTGTAGAACAGATGTAAAACAGTCAGATTCTGGTTTGAACTGAACTTTGACCAAATACTGAGTCAGTGCATTTTGGCTTTGTAGGGCCGTGTACTCACCAGGGTTTGGAAGAGATTCTGCTGTTTTGTTGAGAAAAACCTGATGGATTCAGTTGAATGTTTCTTTAGAGAGGAACAGAGAGACTTGTCTTGACTGCAGCTCTGCTGACACTCAGACTAACTTTCACTTTGATTTGAGGAAATGTGACATTGCAGCTCTCATCTGTCACTGCTGCTCCTCCTCTCTGTGTATTTCTTCTTTTTATGAGTTTTTACTGCAGTCAGCATCCTTGGAGTTTTATTACTGCCACCCTCAGATTTTATTCTCCCTCAGAGTTAATTCAAATACATGTTTCCAGTCCAGTTGCCTTCACTGTTACATTCAGCCAGCCAGCCGGACACAGGTAACAAGGTTTCTGACCCAAACACACAAAGAGACTCCTGCAGCAAACAATGAACTGGCGAGGAATAAAAAAACAGACAACCACTTACATACACAGGTGAGAGAGAAACTAATTACACACAGATGAAACCATTAAGACAATGGGAGACAAGCACGGGAAGTAGAACATGACAAGAGACACTAGGGTAGACTAAACTACACACTAAAACAGGAAGTGAAGCTCACAGAAACATAAAAGAAGGGATTTCCCAAATCACAGATCACGCAGCACAAGCGCTATACTTACAAAACATGTTCAAAAACAAAGAACACAGACACTACAACGAAACCAGAACCCTAGGGCAGAACAAAACTACAACATAACATAGGAAAAAACTACAAACACACCCAATCAATTCAAACCCGTGACTAGGGTAGCCACCTTCAACACAGAAAAATAAGGGGGCCACACCCCTCGGGCATCCAGAAGCCACAGGGCCGGCGGTGTGCCAGGGGTGGTTTATCATAACTTGAAACATGTATCAGGAAATATTCAGATTGATACCAGTGAACGTTATAATAAGCTATCTGCTATTGAAATCAGTGTGAACAGATGCGCTCAGTCTCTTTCTGTCACAACTCAAGAGACTAGCGGTGATATTATCATTGCTGAATACACTATTCACACCAGGGTGTGTTGGCCATCTGGCAATTCTGGCATATGCCAGAGGGGCCGGACTATTTATTCTGGGGTGGGCCGGTCAGATCAGATAATATCAGTGTTTCCCACACATCGGCTTTACTTGGGCGGCCGCCCAACTATATTTGGCGACCCATTTAAGCATTTAAGAGAGAAATGATCAGACTCAGACGCTGGATATTTCACAAGCACGGACAGGTAAAGCAACAGTGAACACTTTGGTGCAGGTGCAACTGGTACAAAGTTGGTTTCGGTTCCTCATTAACGAGCCTCCTCCGCTCATCCGCGGGTGCTGTGTCATTTCAGCCACTTTATAAAACAGCCCACTGCTGATGGAGGAAGTCAACAGGGCCGACAAATACAGGAGAGAGAAAAAGAAAGAGGCTGAGTTTGCAGCAGAGGTGAATGTTCAGTGTTTGTGTGGAAATATGTTTTTATACATGTGTATTCCAATGTTGAGCGCAGTGTGTGAGAAAAGATTTTTCTGCAGTGTTCTGTAGGCTACTGTGTTCATGGATGTTGCTGGAATCGGTACAAACGGAGAGCCCTGGTCTTCTTGTGGGCTCCCAGCGCTGGGAGGAAGGATGCTCCTGTAGGCCGAGCAGAGACCGGGAGGAGGGGGGTAGAGGTCACACAAAATGTTCAGGTTGTGATAAACTCTGCAGCAGAGAAAGACAGTAACAGCAGACAAACAGACAGAGAGCACAGACTCTACAACGTACTCAGATGGACAGACATTGTTTTAACTGCATGTGTAAATTTGTTATAAACGTTTGCTCTTAAAAAACTAGTGGCCTTAATTCTCAAAATCTTCTGGGGGAGGACCTCCTGACCCCCCACTCATATATTTCATCATCGAATATTTCTTCAATTTAGTGTTAAAATATCTTCTCGTCTTGTTCTCGTGACCAAAGTCTTTCATCACATCCCTATTCTCAGACCTTATGTCACCACGTCTTTTCAACCCAAAGCGACACCCTTGCTGTTACATACAGTCGGCCTAATGCTTATATTATTTCACCATCTGTACACAAATGTAGCCTAAGTAGTGAATGTGTGTTCGTGGGGATGCGTGGTGAGGTGGGCCCGCGTGGCTACAGTGCCAGGGTTGATTCACGCACACAACAATGTGTGAACTGTATTTTATTAACTTATTAAATCAACATGTCCATAACTTATGAACTGTAAACGGGCTAAAACAAATGCTTTGATACCATTCAATTGGAAACACTGTTGTAAAGGATTTTCCATGAACATCAGTGGATTAGAAGCAGTGGGCCTCGTGTGCAGCACTGGAGCGTGTTAGGCCTACTTCCTTTCATAAATGTTTTCTAGTCAGAAGTACAGGACTATGAACAGAAGCAGCTCCCTCCTCCTGTTCCTGCTGAGAAATGGATCATGGACTTGAGTAATTGCAAACGGGGGTGTGAACACAGATTTTGCCTAAATATTTGTCATTGTTTGCAGTAATACCATCCAAACAATGAAACCACACATGAATAACCTATCTACAATCATTTCTCAGTTTAATTCAACACCGTCAGTAAATATATTTATGTTTTCAGTTTTTATTCAGCCTGTTGTTAATTCTAGTATTGAATTCTATAGATTGGTTAAGTATAACTAATAGCTGTTTATGTCTCTCTTATGAAATGAATTCTGACTGCATACCTCAACCTTAAGAAACTAATCACAGCATAATGTAGGCATGAGCTTCATTTACACTGTAACAATATTTGTTAACAAATAGGCAGCAAATGAAGCCCAGCGGGATCAATCAGAAAATCAGTACGTTTTATTAAATCTCTGCCTCGGCATGCTGTCACGTGTCTGACAGGCCAACAGAACACTGGCCGACGAATTCTGACGTTTGGCTTGATACTGATCAAGCAGGCTATTTCATTTCTCCCTCTCTCGTTGTCCTCTGTACTTTAGCATCCGCTTTCGTTTCAGGGTAGAAAAGGAGAAGTCTTCACAGAATGATCTGCATGGGATGCTGCATTAAAGACAACCCAGAAATACGGGACTAACGTATTGCTTCAAAACAGGAAACACTATTTAGTTCGTGGCACGCTACCTCTGACACTCCACATTTCGTCTTTCGTGTAAAATTTCCTGCGTGTTGTAAGGTTTCATCCTCCTGACATTGTTCACACAGACCTGTTGGATGTTTTCCTTTGAATAAAAATGTGCTGTTAAGGTTGTCCAGATCCCTTTACTTGCTCTTTACGGTTTGCTCCATAAATGTCTCCCTTTTATTGCATTATTCCAGTTCTGTTGCCCCTGTTGATTTACACTTCTCCACATTATTCCTTTCCTCTGAGTTTGATCATTTAATATTGACCTTTTTGTTGTTGTTCATTCAGTCATCTTAAAACAATAATTGTACACATTTGGGTTCATTGTCCTCAGATGCCTCCCAGTGTCTGCCTGTACTTCTCAGCATTGAGGGGACCATTCATTCTGACCAAATCCCCAACTCTGTTTACAGAAATGCAGCCCCAAACTATAAGAACCTCCAGCATGTTTCACTGTTGCCTGCAGACTCTCTTTCTCGTACCGCTCTGCAGCCCTTGGGCAAACAACCTCCCTTCTGCTGCAACCAAATATGTTACTTATTTCGACTCATCAGTCCAGAAAACCAGCTGCCGTCTTTCTGTCTCCCAGTTCCCGTGTTTCCGTGCACATTTGAGTCACTTGGCCCTGGTTCCATGTCGGGGGTTTGGCTTTTTGGCCGGAAGTCTTTCATGAAGGCCACTTCTGACCGGACTTTCCCGTCAGTTGTGTCCTTCTGTTTTCTGCAGCTCTGAGCTGATGGCACTGCTGGACATCTTCAGATTATGAAGGGAAGTAAGCAGGATGTGTCTTTCTTCTGCTGCAGGAAGTTTCTTTTTCGCTGACCACTGCGTCTACGGTCCTCAACACTGCCTAGTTAGCTTAGACAGCACATCTGTTCACCCGTCTGCCTGGGAGAGACCTTGCTGATGCAGTATAACGACATGGTGTCTTGTTGCTGTGCTCCGTCTTGCCATGGTCTATGACTTTTAACAGTAAACTGTCAGCTTGTTAGCTGAGTTTGGCTGTTCCTCCCCCAGTTGTATTCCTCCTACACAGCTGTTTCTGCTTCAGTTATTGATTGTGTTTCAACCTGCATATTGAGTTGGTGATCATTAGCACCTGTTTGGTATAATAGTTTAATCTTACACCTGAAGTTATGCCAGCAAAGTCTCTGATGCTGTTTTGAAGACAAAGGGTGGAAACAAGAAAGATTGGTTTGATTTAGATTTTTCTTCTGTTCACTCACTTTGCATTCTGTTAATTTGATTAAAATAATCTGTTAATGTGTCTATTTATGAAATGGTTCTTCTTAAACAGCATTTTTCCCTTCCAGTCCAGCGACTGCTGACTTTAGATCCAGACTTTAGGTCTAGTCAATGTATTCGGTACACAAACGTTTAACAACGCTCGTCTGACGTGTCCAATGCATTTTTAAGTTTTGAAAGAGTATGTCCTTCCCCACCATATGCCTCACAGTGGTTTAATCCGTTTGTTCCTAAAAGAGACCAGCAACAGATCTAGTTAGTCACTCAGACCATCAGGGGAAACATATGTGCTTTTGTATGCTGCCCAGACAGGACGTCAGAGAGCAGCAGTGAAATGAAGAAAACAAACGGTGTTGTTTAATGTGACATGTAGATTACAGCCTTTATTCTGTTGTAATAATTTCATGCTGTGAGGTGCAACATTTGCTGTTTGCAGTTCTAGTCTCTTCTTATTGTAATGGAAGTTCTTTAGTTTGTTTAAAATAGAAAAAAGTCCCAAACTAGATGACTGTTGAATTGAAAATCAACGACTTTGTATTTAATATGGCTGTGCAATATGACTAAAACCTCATATCCCAATAATGATATATATCCTGATATAGAACAGTGTTTGTAAATTCAATGAAATATTCTGAGTTACAGGATTTTCACTCCAGTCCCAATCATGGCAGAATGACTCCTTTCCCTCCCAGTCCTGTGATCAATGGTAAGATTGAGTCCCGGTGGTGTTTTGTAGTTATAAGTAACAACGTGACGCAGGAAAAAGGCACATTGACCAGAATTTGAAAAATCATCAATAAAAGATACATTTATTACATTAAATGTAGAAAATCAAGTTCTACTCTGTGATTGGCAGGAGATCATAGAGGATGATGATACAGAGAATCAGACGCATTAAATGTGCAGAAGAAAAGATGGAAGCTGCTCTGGGCTGCAGGAAACTGTAACAGCTTCTCTTCACAGCCTCCGATGGAGCTCAGTTTAAAAAGGCTACCGCACTGAGAGGAACTTCCTGTCTGAGTAGAGCTCAGGTTTTGTGTTAATAAATTTGCTTGAACTAGTCGGAGTTCTGGTTTGGTCTTTAACTCTGTTTTGTAGTTTTGACTGAATTTACACATTTTTATCCACACCTTTCTATGACATCATATCTTTATCTGGTAAAACAGATGTAAAACAGTCAGATTCTGGTTTGAACTGAACTTTGAGCAAATACTGAGTCAGTGCATTTTGGCTTTGTAGGGCCGTGTACTCACCAGGGTTTGGCAGAGATTCTGCTGTTTTTTTGAGAAAAGTTGAATGTTTCTTTAGAGACAAACTGAGAGACTTGTCTCGACCGCAGCTCTGCTGACACTCAGACTAACTTTGACTTGAGGAAATGTGACGTTGCAGCTCTCCTCTGTCACTGTTGCTCCTCCTCTCAGTCTTTTATTCTTCTATTCCTTTTGAGTTTTTACGGCAGTTGGCGTTGCATTACTGCTACCGTCAGAGTTCATTCATTTTAAATAAGTCTTTCCAGTCCAGTCACACTCAACAAACCAAAAATCCATTTCCTATCTTCACAGTCTTCACTTTCCAATATACTTTTAACCGTGTTCTTTACCTGTCCTATTTTATGTAATTGTGTTATCATTTCTTGTTTTTCATGTTTAAATTTCCTGCATGTTGTAAGGATATGCTGGACTGTTTCATCCTCTTTCCCCTGAATGAGAAGCACAGGAATTTCCTCTGCCTGGAGACGCTGGGGAAATCAAAATAGGCTAATAGTGAAGATATATTTTCTGCAATAATTCTGTCAGTCATCATCCAAATCCAAGTTTCAATACTGGTCTTTGATTTTAGGCCTGTGTCATATTCACACTTGACACAACATGTGAGTTGTGGTGATGTTTGGTCAAGCTGTATGTAAGTTTATATGCCTGCGTTTTAAAATAATTGCCTTAAATTATTTTATCCTTCTTAATGCCCCCATTCAGGCTCAAACAGACGGTGACCAGTCCACACATTCCATAATCCCAGCAGTGAAAGGTATTTCCACCTGATGTCTACACACTGAACAAGTCATCTCTCTGCATCTGGATTTATTTAATGAGCTGCAGTAAAAGTTATATGCTTACATCACCACAACTGGAATACAAAAAAAGCAAATTCATTTAGAAAATCAAAAGAAAAATTTTGATTCCTTTCTTGTGACTGTTTAAAAAAGTTATCTTCTCACTGAAACGAGCAGATGTTGAATTCACTTTCACATATTTCTAAAAACGCAAATGTTGTTTAAAGACAGTTTGAAACAGGTAATCACAACTTTGTAGTTAGGAAAGTTTGGTATACAAAATGTGTTGATTTTATGGTGATTGAGTCTAAAATGATTATCTTTCCTTTCTTTTCAGATTGACCAAGCCGATCAAAAACTTCCTGTAAGTTCTGCACATTTTGTGCTGAAAAGAGGCTACTTACCGCTTAAAACATGTATGCCACACTCTGATATCACCGCTCCCATGCCTTCACAAGGAATGCCTGTGCACATTTAAATCTTTTTAATGCACTCAAGGTTCAGCTGTCAACATGGCACACTCAAAAGGATCTAGGCAAAGTTAGTGACTGTCAGCTGTGCCACTTTGTGGATCCTTGCTCTGAACCACTTTTTCACCCATTTGCGAAGACATTTGAAGCTGAAGCAAACGGTTACTTCTCCACATCAAGGCTGTAACTTTCAGAGAAACGTTTATTCCACCTTTAATGCACACAAAAGCAGCTGCTTCTAATGGAAATATAATAATCATGAGTTTAGTGCACTTGAACGACACAACAACACAGGGCTGGAGTTTGTTGGCTGACGTTTAGTAGGCGGAGAGCATGTTTGCAAAGGAAAGTTTAATATCACTGTGTTACTGGTTGACATCCACATCACATAGTGGCCCTTTTTACAAGTAGTGAGTTCCCTTCATTTAGACAGGAGGCTGGAGCTGTGGGGGATAATTGGTGGCACCATGGTAATGTGTATGGGGTGGGTAACCATGCATCTATATTATTGAACTTTAATAGGGCCTACATGTGGGCTTCTAGATTGCTAGCAACATTATTTGACACTGACATGTTCATAGCAGTTTTGCAGGTCACACAGGAAAGAGAATTGTCTTCAATCTTGTCTCGTCTTGTGAGCTAAGTGTCTTGTCACAGTCCGAGCATTTAGAGCTCTATTCTTGCAAATACTTCAGCACCACAAATGTTTTCATAAGAAGGGCAAATCCAAGGTTGTTTGTAGTTTTGATCAAAAACTCACTGATATTTAAAATATTAATTATGTTCGAACTGCATTACGTTCGGTTGGCGTCACAGTCCTGTAGTTAACAGATGTTTACTTGTTAAATACTGTGAGACACTGAATAGTTAGTATGTCTTCCTTTTCAGGTTTTCAGGTTCAGGTGTGATTTTATTTTGTCTTGCCAAATAATATAAGATGTGCAAAACTCATCTTCTGCAGTATCAAACCACACATTTGTTATTTGAGCTAATGTATAAAATATTGATATTTAGGGGCAGACAACTGTACAATTGAAGCTGAACAATTGTACTATTGCAATACTGTCACTTACATCACAAAAATCACAGTATGGACATTTTAAAATTAATTTCAAAATACATATTAAAAACAAGAAAGGATGAAGAACAGTCATTATTTTTTTGCTTATTGTAAGTTTATTACAGAAGAGATTTAAACTAAAACACACACAAACAAAATCTTTAATTGGATAATAGTTACAATAATATTGGAATCATAAGCTAAAATATGAAAAAACATCAGTTTCCCCCATACCTACAAATCTACATCTAAAAGAAAGGCATAGGAAGAGAAGTCCTCAGAACAAAGATTTATTACTGTTATCTGTCCCTTTGGTCTGGACTGAATTGGGAAAAGGGCCGTTTCAGAATGCGGCTCCTTGTGCTTGGAATCAGCTGAAAATGTCCTGAATCTTCAGGAGCCGGTTTCACTGCTTGCTTTTAAATGACATGGAGGCTGGCAGTTCTGGCTGTAGATGTTCTGATTGATTACTCAGATGATCCTTGTTGTTTATTACTTGTGGTAAATATCTATGAAAGTTTGATATTTTATGACCTTGTAACTCATTATTTATTCCCATCGTAAACTTTTATCTGTTTTATGTTTATGTCCTATGTTTTAATGTCTGCAACCTTGTTAATTGTGGTGCTGCCAGTCTTGACCAGGATGCTCTTGGAAAAGAGATTTTTAATCTCAATGAGGTTTTTTCTGGTTAAATAAAGGTTAGAAAAGGCAATGTCATGCTTGCTTATTGTTCAGCCAAGATTTGTGTTTTAATTGTTATCACAAAGCGTGGCTTTTAAGCTGCATAAACTTAAGAGGTTTATGCAGCTTAGCAACATTGTTTTTAACTTAGCAAACACATCATGTTTTACTGTGTGATGATCAGAGGGGCAGAGTTTTTACCACCATAGTTAGGATCAGGACTGAAGTATGGGTAGAGTTTCTCAGTGAAGCAGCAGCCAGTAAAGGAGTAGATAAGAGCTGCAGCATCAACGTCATAAAAGGAGACCAGACCCCCCTCATAATCCACAAACACCCCCACCTTCTCAGGCCGAGACTTCAGAGAGAGACGGACTGGAGGGTCAGTATAAGCAAAGTACTCACTTTCATTTATCAAACATATCGTCCAGTAACCTTTCTGAGGCCTTTGTGTGATGTTTCCCTTCCTGTTGATCGACTCTCTGGCCACTCCTAAATCCCACTCAGTCTTCCCTTTAACCTGAACCTTGTAGTAAAATCTCCCTGAAGAGAAACTCTGCTTTGCTAAAACAGAAGGAATAAGAGAAAATCTCTTTGGATTGTCTGAGAGATTCTTCTTTACATCACCATATTTAACTTGTTTTCCATCATCAGACAGGATGAGGTTGGGATTTGCTGTATCAGGATCGAGGGTCACATCCACTGCATACTGCTGGATCCTCTCCAGCTCGGCCTCAGAGAGCAGCTTCTTCATCTGTTCACTGAGCGTCTCCTCCAGCTGATTCACAGCTCTCCTCACAGTCCCCTCATATGAAGGTGGACGGACGCTGACTACTGTCCAGTCCTTGGTGGGTGGAGCAGCGTTCAGGGACGGGAGGCTTTGGAGGAGGTGGAGGTGGTCTTCAGAGCGTGAGAGCTGCTCCACCTCAGAGCTTCTCTTCTTCAGCTCAGAGATTTCCTGTTCCAGCTCTTTGATGAAGCCTTCAGCCTGTTTCTCTGTCTCTCTCTGCTTCTCTTTGATCGTGTCGATGAGCTCGGCCTGGCTTCTCTCAACAGACTCCTTCAGAGCGCTGAAGACCTGAACACCACCTGCTATCTCTCTGTCTGCATCTTCCTTACTGAGCTCCACTGAGCGTTTGATCTCCTCAATCTTCAGTCGTCTCTTCTGGATCGTCTGCTGAGTTTCAGCCTCTGTCTTCCCCAGCTCGGCCTTCTTTCCTTCATATTCTTCTTTCAGAGGAACAACATCATGTGTCTTGTGGTCTGAAACAGAGCAGAGCATGCAGACACACATCTGGTCGGTCTTACAGAACAGCTCCAGCAGTTTATCGTGCTTCGTACACATCCTGCCTTCCAGGTTCTCCACAGGGTCGATCAGCTGATGTCTTTTCAGGCCTGCCATTGTCAGATGAGGCTTCAGGTGAGTCTCACAGTAGGAGACCAGACAAACCAGGCAGGACTTCAGGGCCTTCAGTTTGGTTCCAGTGCAGACGTCACAGGGAACTTCTCCTGGTTTGGCAGCTTGTTGCTCTGAGCTGCTGCTGCTGGCTTTCTGTTGAGCTGACTGTCTGAACTGAGCAGCCATCTCAGAGATGAAAGTGTTGACCTGCAGCTCAGGTTTTGTGTTGAAAACCTCTTCACAGTTGGGACACTGACACAGGACACTAATATTCCAGTGTTCAGTGATGCAGGTTTTACAGAAGCTGTGTCCACATGGTGTGGTGACTGGATCAGTGAACACATCCAGACAGATGGAGCACAGAAACTGTTCTTCAGTCAGCAGACAGCTGGCAGCAGAAATATCCATACTCTGAGAACAACAAGTGAGAAAAAAACAAATCTGAAAGGTTAAAATCAAGGGGAACAGGACTTTTTTTGAAGATACCTGAAGTGTCTTAAACTCTGACCAAAGAGTAACTGTGTCCTTTGTGGCAACTCATTCTGTCGGTTACATGTGATGTGAAAAGGTGGAAAAGTGAAGTTTAACATTGAACGGATGTTGGGATTGTTGTACCTTAAAGAGAGACTATAAAGGGAGTGTTGTAGCCAACTGAGCCATAGATACAGGATGTTCTTGCATGTGTTGGATCGACCTCTGTTGGCTTGTTGTTTGACTGAGTATGCTGTAGACTCCATCACAAGAAAACCACAAGGTGCCCTTAACAAGTCTACTAAATTCACCATTTCCCAAAAGAACATCACTAAACAGGTCGAACCCGAAAGGCAACAAAACCTCACATGCAGAGCAGGAAGAGTTGGAGCAGTACTGGGAAAACACGACAGTTTAAATGTCACATTCCTCAAAGAGTGTCAGCGGATCTGCAGTCGAGAAAAGTCTGATTCTAACTAAAAGAAAAGTTAAACTGACTTAACAACAAAGGAGAGTCTCTGACAAACAAGTACAGCTGATAATATTTACGGTGTTTCAACAACATTAACACATTTCTGTGACATCATATCTTTTATCTGGTAAAACAGATGTAAAACAGTCCAATTCTGGTTTGAACTGAATTTTGACCAAATACTGAGTCAGTGCATTTTGGCTTTGTAGGGCCGTGTACTCACCAGGGTTTGGCAGAGATTCTGCTGTTTTGTTGAGAAAAGTTGAATGTTTCTTTAGAGACAAACAGAGAGACTTGTCTCGACCGCAGCTCTGCTGACACTCAGACTAACTTTGACTTGAGGAAATGTGACGTTGCAGCTCTCCTCTGTCACTGTTGCTCCTCCTCTCAGTGCAGCTCTGAAGTCAGGTTTTATTGCCTCCTCGGGAAATACCTTGACACAGCTTTGGAACAAGATGAGTTTATACTTTTTGTTGTTTCTTTATATACAGCAGCCAAAAGAACATAGGATTATCTGCAATCAAGACAAGTCTGTTTCTCGTAAAGAGAAAAATTAAGCTGTCTTAACAACACAGCAGATTCTCTGCCAAACTAGTACAGCTGATAATATTTACCGTGTTTCAACAAAGATTAAAGGTCAGGAGGACACAGGTTTAAGCAGAGAGACATGGATTGAGGGGTGGACATTCACGGCAACTTCAGTCTTATGACCGAACGATTGATCACTCTCTCGATTATGAACAGATCAACGTACAGCTTGCGGGACTCCACCTGGAGGGGAAGGTCCCGGGAAGATAACCACACACCGCGTAGTTGGGAGCAGGAGCCCGTCGGCGGACCTGTGCTGTCTGGGTCTTTCTCCAAACTTGCCGACAGTTGCCAGAACTGAGGCGACTACCACCTATTTCTCATGGTCAGGGAAAAAATGGGGATTATATTCAAGCATGGTCATGAATGGAGTCATACCTGTGGCAGCGGAAGAGAGGGGGTTATGGCCGTACTCCACCCAGGGTAGCGATCTGGACCAAGAGGAGGGGTTAAGGGTTATGACAAAGCAAAGAGCAGTCTCCAGGTCCTGGTTGGCCTGCTCCGTCTGCCCGTGCTCTGAGGACGATAGCCGGACATAAGGCTGGCTGTGGCCCCCAGCAAGGTACAGAAGAGACCACGGTCCAGTCGACCTGCTTAACCTGGTGCCACTACCTGTTGTTTACTCTGGGAACACTACCAATATGGCTGAGCAGACAGGCTGTAGATGAGCTAATGCCGCCGTTCTTTAAAACGACCTTCCCCAAAACACGGTTGGTGCTGGACTTGACTGAGATCCACATCCAGACGGCCACACGTGCAGGGAACTCCTCCCATCATAAAGGCTCCATGTTGTACCTGCTTCCAGTTAAAGAAACTCGATGAAACGCCCTCACAACAGGTCGGCCACCTGAAAATCCACATTGAGAGGTTGATCGGCCGAGTACCAGATCTTTGCTGACGTTGTTCCCTCTGCACTTTGTGGTTCGGTCAACCGGCTGTGGACGGTCTGTGCTCTGCTGACAAACTTTCAAGGACCTTTGCTTTAAGCAATGTTTAATAACTGTGGATATACAGTATCCAGATGGATGGTGAGAGACCCTGGGGTGGACACAGATCACACTGGCTTCAGAACGTCTCGAGATCCCCTAGAAGGAGCTGGAAAATGTTGCTGGGGAGAGGGACGTCTGGACTACCTTGTTTATTCTGCTTCCATAGCGACCCGGCCCAGATAAGAGGCAGAACAACAGATGATGAATATATCAATACCGGCATACAGGTGCTGGTCATATAATTAGAATATCATCAAAAAGTTGATTTATTTCAGTAATTCCATTCAAAAGTGAAACTTGTATAATGTATACATTCATTCCACACAGACTGATATATTTCAGAAATCAGCATCTCTGAATATTGTGAAAAGGTTCAATATTGAAGACATCTGGTGCCACACTCTAATCAGCTAATTAACTCAAAACACCTGCAAAGCCCTTTAAATGGTCTTTCAGTCTAGTTCTGTAGGCTACACAATCATGGGGAAGACTGCTGACTTGACAGCTGTCCAAAAGACGACCATTGACACCTTGCACAAGGAGGGCAAGACACAAAAGGTCATTGCTATAGAGGCTGGCTGTTCACAGAGCTCTTTGTCCAAGCACATTAATAGAGAGGCGAAGGGAAGGAAAAGATATGGTAGAAAAAAGTGTACAAGCAATAGGGATAACCGCACCCTGGAGAGGATTGTGAAACAAAAGCCATTCAAAAATGTGGGGGAGATTCACAAAGAGTGGACTGCAGCTGGAGTCAGTGCTTCAAGAACCACCACGCACAGACGTATGCAAGACATGGGTTTCAGCTGTCGCATTCCTTGTGTCAAGCCAGTCTTGGACAAGATACAGCGTCAGAAGCGTCTCGCCTGGGCTAAAGACAAAAAGGACTGGACTGCTGCTGAGTGGTCCAAAGTTATGTTCTCTGATGAAAGTAAATTTTGCATTTCCTTTGGAAATCAAGGTCCCAGAGTCTGGAGGAAGAGAGGAGAGGCACATAATCCACGTTGCTTGAAGTCCAGTGTAAAGTTTCCAATGTCAGTGATGGTTTGGGGTGCCATGTCATCTGCTGGTGTTGGTCCACTGTTTTCTGAGGTCCAAGGTCAACGCAGCCGTTTACCGGGACGTTTTAGAGCACTTCATGCTTCCTGCTGCTGACCAACTTTATGGAGATGCAGATTTCATTTTCCAACAGGACTTGGCACCTGCACACAGTGCCAAAGCTACCAGGACCTGGTTTAAGGACCATGGTATCCCTGTTCTTAATTGGCCAGCAAACTGGCCTGACCTTAACCCTATAGAAAATCTATGGGGTATTGTGAAGAGGAAGATGCGATACGCTGCATTGCTACAGTAATTATAATTATACATTCTAATTATATGACCAGCACCTGTATGTTTCAGCTGATTACTAACAAGTAGTGTCCTCCAGGGAGCACAGAATATTCTCTCTCTGTAAAATGTCAAATTCAGTTCATACAGTTCTTTAATAACAGAATTTAAGGTTCCTGTTGAACCTTGTTTGAAATGTTTCTTCATGTTCTACATTCTAGGTAAACAAATTTGACACAGACATTTCTAGAAATATTAATGTCTTTCATCCTGTCCAACCAAACAGTGAGTCCATCATTACAAATGCACGTATGGCTGCAGCTATGTTTTCAGTATTGATTCATCTACTGATTATTGTCTTTGTTAGCTGTGTGTAGTTCAAAACTAATCTCCTGTAGACTCCAACATTTGCACAGAGAACAAATATATCAGGCTGAATATTTCCATTTGATGGAATGTTGCAGCCAAAAAAAAGGTGTGATGTTAACATCTTTTTATACATGTCAACTGCTGTGTCCTTATTTTTACAACGGGACAACAAACCTGTTGCCAAGCAGTACTTCCATCTTTACAAATGCATTTATGGCTGCAATAATATTTTAATTATTGGTTAATCTTCTGATTTTTGTTTTGTTTTGCTGCATATAGTTCAAAAACCACAGAGCTTTAAATTTACATTCTAGTGTACATCCTAGGGCTGGGCAATAAAACAATAATGATAATTATCGCAATATAATTTTCCTCAATAACAAAATAACAAATGTTCAATATATCGTCAGTAAATATTTGATTTAATTTATTAGAATCACGAAAGAATTAGCACTTAATTTTTCCATTAAGAGGTTTATTTTGTTGAGGCAAAGAGATTTTTTGAATAAAGATTTTATCATAATAGTTTTGAATGTTCTACCTCAGATTTGTTAAGTGATCCACTGCTTGGCAGAAAGTGTTTGGCACGTTCTGACCATAAAGAATAGTTTAACCACACAATTAACCATCTAGCACTTCAATTTTCATTCGAGGGCAAAAATCAGCCTTGAAACTTGAACACTTGACATTTATTGTGAAAATGATCAATATCTCAGTGTGGACACTGAGTAACTTCAGAGCAGAATAATGACATGTTAAGGATAAAACTGATGTTTTTCTATAATATCCTTATTGTCAGCAGAGAAATAAGATGAATCAGGCTTTGGATCCACCAGTGTTATTCATTAAGGGGAAAACCAGGTTGTGATGTTAAGTAACATAGCAGAAGTTCAGGTTCTGCATTCTTGTGTAGATATGATGTCAAGTTTTTTTACTGATTACATGACGGTCAATGTAAATGCATAAACCATGTTTACTAAATAAAAAGTTGAGCCACAGTGATTTAATGCCTACTTTTTCATATAAAAACACATAATATGCAAAAACTTGCATTAGTAGTAGTATAGTTACTAAAGTAGTGAAGAATTTTAGTCGACATAGAAGCACAAGGAATATAAAAGAACAGCTGCAGTATTATAGAATCCAAAAAAAGTTAAAGTCAAGGGCAACTGGACTTGGTTGACCTCAGCGACACCCACTCCAGCACCAACTCCACACACCCACCCTTAGTTCTAATACAAACACAGGCAATTTTAAAGAAGCACTTGGCCATTAGCTTTATTGTGACACAGCTGAGGAGTGCCTAACAACCTTTTCAAAATTCAGACTCATCCAGGCCATGCTCGCATATATATTCAATAACTCAGTATGAATATAAAACACAAAAGGTCAATACAGTTTCAAATCAGACTGTGACAGTACTGTTCCTCCTTTTAAGTTAAAACAAGACAAGGAGAGAGAAAAAGCCCTTCAATGCTCGAGTAATTAGAGAAAAGTAAAATCAAACATTGAAGAAATTACTGCAAATCATTAAATCATAAAATCAACATACATACTTCATCTATAAAATTCAATCTTGACAGATTATGTGCAGAACTGAAATATAGATAATATGATGACAATAATAATATGAACAGAGGCTTCCCACATGTACAGCTTATTATATTGGAACTATATTTGCAGCTGTATCCTGTGACTTGTGATGTGCTGCTGACTAATGTTTAGGCCAGTTTTCCTGCTGTTACAGGGGAACTTGTGGTTGTTATTCATCTTCATTAATATAAAGGGAAGCACAAAATTGAGGTGGCAGGTGAGGATTCAAAGTATAATAGAATATAATGCAGTTAAGCTCTCAGCCTTCTGTGATGCTTTTAGATATGTTTCTCCTGTAGATCAACCTTTACAAGGTAACAAGGTAGGTTATTTGTCATGATACAACACAAGGTTGCAGAACGAAACAAATGTTTGTAGTCCCTTCTTACTATTTGAATGCACATTAAATGTGTATTCAAATATTTTCTCATGTAATATCATCTCTGCTGAGTCAGCACATGGATGATTTAGTCTTCCCTCCTCTTTTGTCTTTGTTTGGGGAAGTAAAGTT